ATTCAGTCTCATGAGGGAAGTAATTTTGAAGTTTTAAAAACAAGAGAGAGACAGAAAGGAGACAGCAATACAGAGAAGTCTTGTCACTCTGCTGCAGATCGTAACTCCTAGGAGGCGTAAAGCCAGCATGACTAGAATAGTGGGGAGACCTGCGGAGAGCTGAAGCTTGAGGGTCATGGTGGACGTGACCCGAATGGAGGTAGAGAGGATATTCTAGCTGGACTGAAGGCAGCCCCAGTCACATATCCTTATCTTTGTAATAGCCACAACTGGCCAATGAATCAAAACATTTCTTTAGTCAATTTTATCAAATTAGGGATTGTCACTTAGTTACAGATAAACAGCTTTTCTTTATTCAAATATGTGGATAGAGGTTCTAATTAGAAAGATTCTTCAGTAGCTTAAGAGTTTTGCTGTCTTACGATGAAAACCCATCTCAGGACAATTTACATGTATAACATGCTTTAAAAGCCAATCGAACAGTAGATGTATTTCTCTCAGGTTGTCTTTTTGAAAATAATTTTGTGATGATAATGTATTTTTTTAAAGACATACTTTTTCCTGGTTAGTGTTAATGATCAAAATCAGTACATAACAGATGGATGCTCAGGAAATAATTGTTCAGTGAATGTAAATATAAAAACTTTTCTGTAACTACTTAACAATCATGATAAATAAACAGCTGAGAGTTAAGACTTTGAATTATCTATCCAGAAAAAATTGTATTTGTGTCAAACTAAGACACTCTTTTTAGGCTATAAGTCTTCTTCAAAATGACCATTATATTGTGTTTGTTGCTATAATAGCTGGTTTGTCTTCTTAGAACGGTGGTTGTTCATGGATTTACCGTCGGAGAAAAGGGAGAAAAGATGTCCAAGTCTCTTGGGAATGTTGTTGACCCTGATGTTGTCATCAATGGAGGACAAGTAGGTGGTTACCTAAAAATTCATTTTCTTTTTGTTTTAAGGCTCTTAAGTTGGCAGCCAAAACCCTTAATATAGTTACTTCAATGTAAAAAAAATAAACAAACTCATAAAACTATCTTTTATACAAATAGCAAATGCTTACCATGTTTTAAATCTAGACTCTTAAGTAATATGTGTTTTTTTTTTTTTTTTTTTTGAAAAAGGGAAGGACTGAGATTGCAGCCCTTTTCACTCATTTCAGGTCTGAATCCCCAGTTAGGTCCTAAAGCATGCTATCCCTTTTTTAATTGTCTGAGCTTTTTAAACTTTATACACTGTAGTTTTACAGTTAAACAGATACAGTATAAGAAAAAAATGAGATTGCAACATCCAAGTATATATATTGTGTTATTGTATTCTTAGAAATGATACACTTTAAAGCAAGTCACTAATGAACATCAAATCTGGGATTGCTGGTAATCTGGTTTGTTTTGGGGTTGCTTTCAGAAAAGAAATCACCATCTGCTGTTTTACTCCGTTGGCTTTTTGCTGCCCTCCTAGTGTCCAGTAATTGTTTCTCTGTCCAAGTTGCCTGGGAATATGAGAGGGAAAAGCAACCACTTCCCTCCTCCCGCCCGCTCCCGCATCACAGAGAGGGCATCCGGGGCCGGCTCTGACGTCCACCTGCTGTCCTGGACGTTTACGGCAGGAAGGTGTCAGGTGTTAGCATCTGGGCATCAAACAAGCCTGCAGGCCATACTCTGCTATCCAGTTTTGTTATTTTTTAGATGCAACTTGATCTCTGAGATTGTTAGCTCTTATTTGATTACAGTACAGGTATATATATATTTTTAATTTTTTGGGGGGGAGACAATTAGGTTCTTTAATTTATTTATCTTTTAACGGAGGTACTGGGGATTAAATCCAGGACCTTGTGCATGCTAGTCATGTACTCTACCACTGAGCTGTACCTTCCCCCAGACCTTCTATCTATCTATCTGTCTGTCTATTGATTTATTTTTTAAGATCAATCGATTTTTTTAAACATTTTTTATTGAGTTATAACCATTTTACAATGTTGTGTCAAATTCCAGTGTAGAGCACAATTTTTCATTTATACATAAACATACATATATTCATTGTCACATTTTTTTTTTCACCAGTACAGGCATATTTTATGCCTACATTATGCTCATACATTTCTGAACAGGAGTCTGACCTAAAGCATTTGTTCACCAAATTGTAATCGAAAGCCATTGATATATTCATTTGTTTCTTCCCGTGATGAAAGGACCAAAGCAAAGAGCCTCCCTATGGTGCTGATGTCCTTCGCTGGTGGGTAGCTGAGTCCAATGTCTTCACTGAAGTGCCAGTTAGTCCCTCTGTACTTAATGCTGCCAGAGATGATATTAACAAGGTCAGAGTCATTACTCTTTCTATTGTTTACCATTCCTGAATGAAAAGTTTGCTGAATCATTGTTTAAAAAAAAATGAGGCACGTTTTGTTTGGCACTGCACAGCTGAATGAAAATGAGTTCTCCATATGTTGTGAGATTTTAAAAAATATCCTGTGCTAATTTATCTGTTTTAAAAATAATAATAGTAATGCTAATAATTTTACATACTGTCTTTTTATATTTTATTTTAATATAATATGAAATTATACCAATTTTATATACTTTTCAGGAGCTCAAAGACCATATTTATTCCATTTATTTTTATTTTCACCTGCTTCACAGGTGAAAACAAAATTCCTACCTGTACAGATGAACAAATGGGGCACCAAACCGTGATCTGCCCTAAGGGTCATAAAGAAATACAGTGAAATATTATGAAATTTCAGTTTTTATGTATTATGTATAAAGTACACTGGTTGTTTCTATAATGGGCATTTGAAATGAGAATTTGTTTTTCATTTCTTATTTAGCAATGATATAAAAATAAAATACTCCATTAAGAAAGTAGCATGAGTTGGATAAAACTTAACTGTAGAGAAATTTTTCAGTCATCATTGAAGGGCTCTTGTATTTTTTGACTCCTTATTTCTTTCTCAATATTAATAGCTTAGGAATACACTCCGCTTTCTTTTGGGAAATGTGGCTGGTTTCAACCCAGAAACAGACTCCGTCCCTGTTAACAATATGTATGTCTTAGACCAGTACATGCTACACTTACTGCAGGATTTAGCAAACAAGGTAAGTGTACACTAAGAAGCTTTTGGAATTAACACTGTCGTGTGTTGAAATTTGGGTTGCACGCGAGCGGAACAAACCGTGTTAGAAATAGTAGCTAAAGCACTGAGAGATTGTCCTAGGTTCACTCGGTGTGAATCTACAGTTTCTTTCCTGGTTTCTCAGAAGGCTAGAGGAGTACCTGGTGGAAACAGTAGGCCC